AAGGGTTAGGTTTAGGGTTAGGTTTAAGGTTAGGTTTAGGGTTAGGTTTAAGGTTAGGTTTAGGGTTAGGCTTGGGGGGGTTAGGGTAAGGTTTTCACATTAATTTTAAATTTACCACTCACAGCGTGCTGTTTTCGTCGCGCTGTGATGACGTCACGTACGCGCTTTCGTCGAGCGCGCTTTAGTCTACTGCGGATTTGTGGTGAAACTGGAGGAACCCAGCCCTTCTGATCTTTGATTGATGATCTATTTCTTTCCAGCCATTGGGGTGAGAGAGTTTTCCGTATTGCAGTGGTTCGCCTTCTGCCGTTACTGGTGTTGGTGGGGAGAGAGCAAGTCCTAAGACCCTCTTAAGTACTTTACTCAAGGGCAGATCCGCACTAGTTGATGGCATTTAGGACAGTTACGAAGACTTAGTTGTTCTGGAAAGCCTTGGGGAGGCCATTTATTGCAAAATGGCCCTTGCAATAAATAATCGGCTGTTACACACTCCTCGGGGTAAGGATGAAGAGTAATAGTCGTCAGATTTATATTGCCAATAGTTAACTCTGAAAGGATGCTGAGCTTCTGAATCAACTTTCATGCAGAAACCTTTAGGACAAATGCACTAACAATGCTGAACTTAATATTCCAATGAAATGAATTAGGTCTCCAGTGAATTATATGTAGGATTACAGTTGAAATGCTGCACTAAGTAAAATATATAAAAGCTGCTCCCTTGATTTGAAAAAATCAATTATTTCAATGAAATCATTTATTGTACAGGTAATTTACAGTGGGTTTTGTACATAGACTGAGAAATTGAAAGGTAGTTTATATAAAATGAACATTTACATACTATATACAAATATCTTTTTCCTCCAATCTAAATTAATTAATAAAACATGCAGAATAATGCATTAGGTAACACAAATCTTAATGAAAACATTAACTTTGCTCAATATAGAGCATAAATATTTCCACTGACTACAAGATTCTTGAATGATCAAGTCAGTTTATACAGAAAAATTATCTTGTTCAGTTACATGTTTGCATTGGCAACTATATTTAAACTTTTAATACCACACTTTCCACTGAAATGGATCAAGTACCTTTTGAGCAAGGTGAACTCCCCCCCCCCAACAAAACTGGGTTTAAAAAGCAAACTAAAATATTTTCTAAATAGTACACACTTCCTTTTATTATCCACTTTATAGCACTAACAGAAGAAGCGAAAGAGATTAACTTAACTTCATTAATTCTTTTAGCTGGAACAGATAATGGAAACACCTTACATTAAAGTATTAGTAACAACCAATCTCCGTTTACAGCTTTTTGCACACAACTTCACATTAAAAAGCAAAATATCGCTTTCCTGGAGGAAAATGCATATTGCATCAGTGCATAACATACAGTGTAACTTAACACACAGAGACACACACAAAATGGTGAGGACTTCATTTTATACTTGGGTCTTTGTGTATAAAAAATGGTGAACTGTTCCTATACAGATATCCTGCAGTCATAATGTTGATTATCTGATATATTAAAATTGAACTCTCAATTACTTCTGTGCCTTCATCACTGATGAAGAACATTTAAAACAAGAACACATCTAACAGATAGTGGGGTTTAGGATTGGATTATCCAGTCCTTTGTAGAGATTTGTTCTTTGAACACAATATGACTGTGCTACAGAGTCATTGGATCACTGACAGTTAAGAAAAGAACATTTTTTACATAATACACCAATTTAGGCCACAAGACAATTTACAAATAATTTCAGACACATTGATTAGGAGATAGCGGGCATGGTTCTGTCCAGCCTCCCTTAATAGGACTTTTGGAGAGAGCTAGAATCCAATACTTGCTGCCACTGCAACTATCCCCACATTCAGATAGCATTATCTCCTGATTTTATGCCGGGAACTGTTTCATTACAAGTAAAGATGCATGTCATAATTTATTGCTTTGTGCTTTTCTCCCACAAGTCTTATAGAAGCAATTATATTTTTAACAAGGAGCTATTCATTATCAAAGATGCACTTCAAACTCATGAAGTTTCATATCATTAAAAGCTTCACAAATTCAAATTCACGAAAATTTGGAACATCTAGAGACTTTCCCATTTCACTCAATACCTGATTGGTTGGGTGATTTTTTTTTTAAAATTGTGATTTTCTCATCACCTAGATTCATAGATTGAGGAAAAGTCAAGGCTAATGAGGTTTGGTAGCAATCTTTTTTTGTGATTGTTAGCTGGCTTGAGAGCTAACCTATCTCTCTCCTTTCCCTGTTTTAAATCTCCCCACTGTTTCCATGATCTCTAATACCATAAGGAAGGTCCAGCCCCCTCCTGATTGAATGTTTGTTGTGTTCCCTTTTTTAACTTGTTGTGTCCCATTGTTTTTAATAATTCTTTTTAATTTTTTTTTCATTTCTGTAAGCCGCCCGGAGTCCCCCGGGATTGGGCAGCATAGAAATTTAATAAATGAAATGAAATGAAATGAAGAACACAATCTTGCCAGGGGATTCCTAGAAATAAGCCACAGGCTACTTTCACCTGGTTGGTATCAGTCTTCCTCACTGCATTTGGAGACAGTTTGATGCTTTGTGTCCACATGTCTAAAAAATGAATAGCAAATTTATTGGAATTTGATGGCATGTGTAGTGAAAACGACCAGTGGAATTTGATTAATGAAGGTAATAAAGACTCCCAGGATTGCTGTTGTTAAATGATGAAATGACAGTGTTGTGCTTTATGACTCCATCACTGTTGTAACTCAAGGACTATCTGTATTGTATATTGTACTGTGTTCTGTATGTTGTTGTTTTGTTATGTTATGAATTACCCAGAGTCAATTGGCTTTGGACAGCACCCAAGTTGAATGAATGAATGAATGAATGATTTATATGTTTCCTAATAAAATTTATATAGCTTCCCATTTCACACAACTCTGGGCAATAAACACAATGCAAACCATTAAATATAAACTATGGGAGACCATATTCAAGGACTTACAAACAATGTAGCCATTTTGCAGGTCTCCCCATTTCCCTGGGATTCCCAACTCTGCTGACAAAACAGGTTTCAAGGGATCTCTGGAAGATCAATAGGACGGAAGCTTCAGAGGGAATGATGTTCCAAAGGCTTGGTCTCACAACAGAGAAGCTGGATCCCTTGATGGGGCAGGTATCCAGAACTCAGCCACATGCCCTATAGGGCTTTAATCTTGAATTGAACCCGGAAACAGACTGGCAGCTAATGCAGAGACGAAATGCAATATGTACCATTCTAGGAGCAGACATAACACCACTGTATTTTGTAGAAGCTGAAGCTTTCGGATACTCTTCGTGGAGGTGACCAGGCTATGAATAACTGAGAGTGGAGCCTCCTGATGAAGGAACAGGTGCAACTAGTACACAATACGAAGTTGCACAAAGGGTCTCTTAGCCGCGACTGCCACATGATCTTTAAGCAGGAATTGTGAATCCAGACCCACAATGCTCAAGCATCAAGACAGATCAACAGCAATGCTTAGTTCATTGGGGTGGAGATATACAACTGGGTACGCATTAGGGCAACAGATTATCTTACCCAACCACTTTACGTAGAGTTAAACAGGAGTGGAGAGAGTATCCTACATAATAGGGGTTGAGGGCTATCATTCCCATGCAATACCAACGGGAATCTTCCAGGTTACAATTCAGAGCACAGATTTCTTCACACTGTCATACGCTATAAAGAACTTGCAGTTGGCTAGAGAATCTTCCATTATTTGTGCTTTATTTGTGTGGCAGAAATTATAGTGAGCAAACAGCTATCGAAGGTTATTATGAAACAACTTCTGAATCCATTAAGATAATCTGTATCTCTCAAAAACAAGTTATAAGGTTTTCCCATCTTTTCCAGGAGCACATTGTATGAATGTGCAAATGCTGATAAATAAAATGGAAAATGTACCTACACTTATACAAAGAAAGGAATGTTTCTGAGAAATAAATTAATAGTTCTTTAGTGACTAACCGTGTAATCTAGAACATCTTCAAAACAGATTTTTTTAAAAACAAAATTACAGAAACATCTAAGCAAAGGCAAATGTTGTAGCCTTCTCATGGATAATTTTCTGTTGTTTTTTTTAATTTTTTAACTGAAAATCTGAAACTTTAAATGGCATTAATCAAAAGCAAAATATCACATATCAAGCCAGACATTTGTGTAAGCACCGAGGCCCTGCTCTCATTTACTGTAATTCTATGAGGTACTAATTTGAATTGTACATGAGAGGGAAATCCTGCAATTTGCTGTATTTTCAGTGCTTTCTATAACTTGCCTATATTTTAATCTTCAAGTTTTATAATAAAGGGAGAAATAGTTCCTTCCCACACTTTAATCCTATTCTTTTCAGTTAATTCTTAATGAAAAAGAGAAACATTTTCACCAGAAACCCAACAAAAACACATTTTTTTAAAAAAAATAATGAGCAACTTCTGTGCCTGTATTTGCATCTGAAGTTCATAGTTCTATAGCTGAATTGTCATCTTCAATACTGTTTTCTTACTCCAAAGCAGCCACAAGTTGTGTTGTTGAAATTCAGGAGCAATTGCTAACTTTCCTTCTTTTCCCAAAAGTAGAAACAAAATTTGTATTAAGCTTTTGTGAACTTTAACACAATTGTTTTGCTCTTTAAAAACTCCTCTCCCACTCTAACAAAAGATATGTCTCTAACAAAATAATAAATTAAATCCAGTATGGATTCATAAAAACCACATAATCCTCACCCTTGCAACACAAGTTGAAAGTAAAAGCGAGGCTTGGAGGCAAATTGTTTTACCAGAAAATGGAGATAAAAAAAATCTTTACTGAAGTAAACAAGTTTGGTCCCATTGAATATTTTATGCAATGATGCAAGTATAACATGTATAAAATTAGTGTCTTAAAATGTTAATTTTAAACCTTTTTGTGGGGAGGGAAAGGAGACATGGAGTCACCTAAATGGATAACAAAATTCAACCATAACTAATTTTAAAAATCCGTTTAATTATACCAAAAGCTGATTGCTTGGTTTTACTATAGTACAACAAAAATATGCAAGCTTCAAGTAGAAATAAGTTTATCATACTGAAACAAAATATAGCAAAGTGCAAACTAAAGAGGAAACACTACTGCTTTCTTCAAATTGCTCAAGAAAAATATATTTAAAATGCTATATTACAAATAAATACAACAAAGACTGAATCACCTCTTTGGTCCATATGTTTATAAAACAAACCAACTTAACCTGTTAATCTAAGTAATATTAAAGAGGATATCTAGAATGCCATTAGATCAGTGTTTCTCAACCTTGGAGACTTGAAGTCCTGATTCTAGGAGTTGAAGTCCATAGGACTTCAAGTCTCCAAGGTTGAGAAACACTGCATTAGATACTATTTCTTTAAACTTAAGCTATGTTATTTACTTTAAAAAAAGGAAGGCCTGGAAGAGTTTTATTTTGAATTGTATGAATTTTTCAATTGTTCTCTAATTGTTGTTAATAACTCTGTTCATGTTCAAATACTGGCACTGTACTGCACTGTTACACTGCATTTTTTCCTAAGAATGCTTGGTCCAAGTTGAAACTATTGTTCAAAGACATTTTTGGAGAACATCATAGATAGTTCTTTGACTTATTTTAGCAGCTGGAAATATTATGGTAATACCATTCATACAAAAAACATTTCACCCTGAACTACAACACTCTAACATAAACTTACACGGAATTCATACACACTCAACCTTTTCAGAAGATGAAAATTTGTCCTAGTATATAAGCATTTTCCTTATATATTATCTTCAAGAATGAATATAAAAGAATATTGCTATAAAACACACTTCCTTGGTTACTTCATTCCTGTTTTTAATATATAAATCCATTTTTAAAAGCAATAAATAACTATCACTGCAGTCACTTTAAAATACAGGTTTGATGTATTCTATTCAAAGGCATGGGAGGCCAGAGATGTCTTCACTAAATGGTATCTATTGTCTGTTCAAATGTGTTTAAATATCCAATACTAAACAAGAACAGTAAGAAGTTCTATCCACCATCCTTTTATACAAAATAATCATAATAATCATATACAGTGATTTATCTACAAAACACTTCATTAGTTTAATCTTACTAGGGGTTATCTATGATTGCCTCCTGTTGTAAAGTATTTTTGCTTGTTTTTCTCCATTTTTAGATGGCAATGTTACTGACAATAATATGTAACATATTCTGAGGACAATGAATGTATTGCAGTATTGTAACAAAAAGTGCATTTCTACTACCATATAAATTATTCCCAGCCTAGTTTTAATACCAATAGAATTTGTTTTGTGAAAACTGTTGGTAGTTTCATCTGATGAGGCAATTGCAAACATAAGAAGCATCTGAGTTTCCAGCATAACAATGTTTCTGCATATAGCCCTAAAATCTTTATAATTAGCAATTTACAAATACAATCTCTATAACTGTCTTTAGTTCTGGGGCCTGAGAATGTTTGTTTTGTAAAACCATTAGTTTTGTACAGTAATACTAAATATTAAACCAGTTTACATATAAACACAACAGCATTACATATACCATGTTTTGTTGCTCAAAATATGGACATTAAGATGCAGGATTCTTATGATAAAATAATCTTCCTCAAACTGAACTGATTTTCTTTTTAAAATCCTCTTGGCTTGAATTGGGGTAATATTCTTCAATTGTGTTTGTTGTTGTCTTTTTAATAGGAACGCCCCTACCACATCCATTACAACATTGCCAAGCAGTAGTAATCCACCAATAGAAACAGAACAGCAGAAAAATGGAGAAACTAAAAAATTAGTTCTAATATATACTCAAGGCACTACCACCCCCAAAATCATTTTATACTACTATTTAGCAAATAAATACATATATATATATATATACACACACACACACAAAAATAAATAAATAAATAAATAAGTAAACAAATAAATAAATAAATAAATGTACCTTGGTATTTAACTTTAAATTAGTTGCAACAAAATATATCTTATTAAATTCCCAGTATTAATGCTATTTCCACTGTCTTATGACCTTGATTCAGAGCGCAGGATGAACACAAAATTTATATTTGTGGCTACTGCGGAGAGATCTCTGCTGTCAAATGATGTAGTAGTTCCATATAGATTGATTCATTCTTGCTGGAACTGCCTACCATTGCAATTATAAGAATGACAAAAAGATAAACAATAAACTTCTTTTAAACTCTTTTAGACCAATATAAACCTTGATAATTAATATATTAACACATATGAATATAAATTGAGATTTTTTTACCACAACATTTAGAAAAGCTCTGGAGCAAAGAATTGTAATGTCTAATTATTATTGTTGTGGGTATGATTCTATTATCATGACTTTTTGGACAATGGGCTTGTCTTTTTATCTTTTTTAAAAATATTTTTATATAGGCACAGTACCTACTTTTATCTTAGTTTTAAGATTAAATTCACACAGTACTTCCTTAATGGAGGAAAGCACACACATACACAGATGTCCACTGTTAATATTTCAGGGTTCTTTGTTCCAATTTCTAGCTAGAAATTCCACTTTTTAAGGAAGGAGCGTGAATGAATGATGAACCAGTTGGGCAATGAAAGTACCTACGCTTCTATGGTAAAACTGTGTTTTTCAGCCATTGCTACTTGTACTCTCTTCCAAAAGTTTTTTCAAACACCAGCACATGCAGTGCAGGCTTTGACTGCATAGGAGATCTATGAGTCAGGACAAAATACAATTGAGTCACTTCTTCCTAATATTCACATTGGCCCATCACGGTACTTTCTGTTCTTGGTATTCATTTAATAACATTTTATAATAAAGACAGCTACAGTCACACCACTATGGCTTTTGTTGAAGCACACAAACAGAATGTATCTATTCTATTCAAAGCTAAGCTGATAAAAGTCACATATAACTGCTCCCAAGCTATCCAAAAATTGGGGAAATTCTGTGGAGATTCTCAATTATCCAGATCATTGTTGTCCCGATGGTGCTTTTCAAAAGGTAACTGGAATTTCTTGGTTGTTTATTTTTTCCTTGAAAGCCCCAAGGAAGTCCAGATGCCTTTTGAAAAGCACCTTTAGGATAAAAATTAGGAAACTGAAAAGGAAATTAAACTGCCCTGTTTTTAAAATTATAGCAGCTTACCAAAATAATTTTGTTCTTAATCACATACAAAAAAGGTTTTGTATCTATCACAGTATAATCTGGTAAATATGAGTTTTTCAAAATCTATGGTTTCCACTGGTATTAATGATATTAGTGAAACATTAAAATTGGCTTTGTAATGGATCATTTCATTAAAGACATTTCAGTTTGTATTATTTGACTCATACAACTTTCCAAAATCTGCAGTGTGACTACAGCGTATACCATAAATTATAAGGTTTGAAATGTGTAGAAATAAATAACTGAATCTGGCTTTAGTGAATACAATGCATCTTAATAAACCCCTTCATGACATTCTCTCATTTTGTATCAATAGGATTCATATCCTTATCAGAGCTTTGCTTCAGCTACGGCATCTGCTCACATATAACATTGGTTCACAATTGTTTTGTTCCCATGGCCATGCTAATATTCTGTACTGAATGGGATTCAATTAATAATAAGCAAATATCTAGCTGCTGCTGTACCTGAATTTTTAAAACTATGTCTGCAGCATTCAGTTACTACACATCTAAATGGTCACATTATAAATCCTTTTTTTTAAAATCAATTTCACATTTGGCACATTTATTCGTTCTTCAGAAATGCCCCCGTGTTTTCTTCAATACCATCACAAACAATGATCACAACACCAACTGTTTGACTGATTAGCAGCTTCACAAGATGGTTTATCTCAAGCTTCTCCTTAATGGATCACACCTTGCCTATGACAGAGGCACATTAGGTACAGTGCAGTAGGGTGTCATTTTTGGCTCTAGAGGAAAGCATTTCCCAAATGGATAGAGCCTCTAGTTTGCAGTCCACATACCATGCATTTCCCTGGTAATTCCAATCCATCCGCTACTGAAGCCATTTCTGGAAAGCTTCATTGCAGACTGCTTCCTTTTATGCACAGCACTTCCGTAAAAAATTCAAAGTGTAGCAAGAAGATTCAAAGTGTTGCAAGAATCCTTGAAAATGAAATAATTATTGTCAGTACAGTCTGCCCAACTCCAAACACCAGTGCTTCCATGGGAGCCATGCTTTTCCCAGCCACTCTGTAAATTCCAGCTACTGCTGCACCTGAAAGGGACAAGGAAGACAATTATAACCAGAACCAAATATATATATATATTCAAAAATCACCTTATAGTCAATATGTAATGTTCCCCTCCTCCATACACAATTGATTTTACAATTCTTATCACATTGGACAGAAAGTACAGTACGATTCCATAATTTACTAAAATGTAAATAGACACTCTTCTACAGAATATTTAAGGAATGATCCGGCAAAAGTCAAACACTTCTTTTGCATTCATATATGTTCAGCTCCCCCATTCAGTGAGACTTAAAGTTCCCAACCCATGTAAGAAACTAATAATTAAAAGTCTACACAAGACCGATGATCAAATAATCTAAAGGTTTAATTTCTGATTGTTGACTGCTGATGAAGCATCCTAAAATAGAACTCAATTCTGAAGTGATACTGTTCTATGAATTCTTTATTTATATACAGTCCAATTTCCTTTGAACCTTGATCCACTGTCTAATAATTGTTTCAAATGTTTAAATCTTATCAAGCATTCACCCTAGAAAACAGGGGCAAAGTAATCCACCTTCTCCAATTGAATCCTATTCCACTTATAGCTAATGCATATGCTTAGCTCAACAGGGCATGCACTGACCTTTACTCTACCTTGGAGAACAGTGAGAAGTATTTCAATTTAATCAGTTTCCTATTTCAACTGAGCAAAAAATAAACTTTAAATCAAGGAAGAATCACAAAAGTAACATTAGACCGTAGTTTAATACACTGGATTGGTTCAAAGCTGGTAACCATGCTATATATCAGTGTTTCTCAACCTTGGCAACTTGAAGATGTCTGGACTTCAACTCCCAGAATTCCCCAGCCAGCGAATGCTGGCTGGGGAATTCTGGGAGTTGAAGTCCAGACATCTTCAAGTTGCCAAGGTTGAGAAACACTGATATAGATAGTTCTTGATTTATGACATTTCATTTAATAATGGTTCAAACTTAGAACAGCCTCAGAAAAAAATAATTTGCAATCTGTCCTCAAAGGTACAATTGATGCACCCCTCTCACGATCATGTGACCCAATTTGGGTACTTGGCAACCAGCTCACATTTACAAATAGTTGCAGTCTCCTGCAGTCACATGATTACAATCGTCAACCTTCCCAGTCAGTTTCTGACAAGCAACATCAACCGGGGGAGGAGGATTTGCTTAATAATCGCACGACTTGCTTAACCACCATGCGATTCGCTTAACGATTGTTATAAAAACAGACATAAAATCAGGTTCAGTCCCATAACCACTTATTTAACTTAACTGCATTTCTAAGCAACCGAAATTCCTGTCCCAACTGTAGTTGTAAGTTGAGGACTAGCTGTATTCTACTTGAAATAAACTCTTTTTTTCCCACAGAAAAGGGAATATTTTATTGATTTTTTCAAAAAAAGAAATAGGGTTCATTCTAATAGTTATTGTTCAATTATCTGAAAAATAGTTTGATGTTTAATATAATTTTTCTTACAGAAAACTTCCATAAATTATTCTATCATTAGCATAAGATTAATCTACCATCTTTCTCACTCTACCTTACTGTAACGGTTTCTGTAAGATGTTTATGTTCTGATTTAAGCTTATTTTTGATATGAAAATTTAAAAAATATAGAAAGTTTATTATATGCAAATAAAATCTTGTATGTACTGGGTATTTTTAAAGCAGACATTGTTTCCTATTTAAAACAATAGCTGGCAGTAGCATTAATCACAATATGTGGGTTCTCATTAAGGTATTGTAGATCTGATAGTCTTTATATTAAAGTTACCATTTATGGGTGTGTGGGTGTGGGTGTACATGTACATAATTATTTAACTAAATGAAATGTGGCAGATAAAGACACTTCATTTTTATCATTCTAATTTTTGTAAGAGAACCATACAAATCAAATATAAAAATAATACAAACAATTCTAGGTTAATGAAATGACTCCTATAACAAACTAAATACATTTTTCTTTTGTATTGCAAAGACAGAACTGATTTCATAACAAATGCAAATCTAACTGATGGCTTAATTTATTACAACTCCAAATCAGTAGAAGACAGAAATCCCGAAAGCAAAGACTGCACATTAATGACTTGCTTAAAGTTATGTTATAAAGTATTTTTTACCTTTCTGTGGTTATCTCAAAGAATGCATCAAAATCTGTGCATAGGGGAAAACCCAATACTAAATAAATAATAACTAAATCATAATGAAAGAATTCTATCTACAGTTAACAAAGCCAATGGTTACAAAGGCATTGCATAGATTGCTCCTAACAAATTTATAAAAATTTCTATAGGGAATATAAATCTACCACACACATACACACACACACACGCACACACACAAAATTGTACATTCTCATATATGGGTACAAGCATTGTTTTCCTCCAAAAATGATTGTAAAAAACTCAGGAGATCCCAATTGTTTTATGAGGGATGATTGCGCATCTCCTGGAATCACTAAGCACTAGCTTGTCAACTCCAAGCAATGCTCCTTTTCATAAGGCATTAGTAAATCATTTAGGAATCTGGAAGTCATGGAAAGAAGCTAATGATGCAGCAAGGGTCTAACTTGACCCAGGAGAGAACTACTGTACAGTACCTTCCACATTCATTAAGGAATTGTGCTTTTGGGCTGTTTGAGTCAGTGACATATATATATTTCTGACATTTACATATATAAAACAATTTTGTGAATTGAGATAAACTAATCTTAATTTGCTAAGATAAGCAAAATAATGTACCTATTCTATAAAGGGTCAGATAACATTTTTTTCTTTTGAGAAGCTATTCTTATTAGGTATAACTATTTCAGGAGCTATCTCCTAAAGTACTTTAGATTATAACAACATCTTGAAGAGAATGTAAGTGCAACAGATTGCCTTAATTGTGAAAGTGTAAAATTGTCTGAAGAATACAGAGACAATATCTTTATTGGACAAAGTCTCATTGTCAAGTTATTAAATAGTTCTTTAGAAGCTTCATTATCTTTAATACAGTAAAAAAAACATGCATTAACATATAAAATTTTTAGATTTTAGTTGCTAAATTTACTAAGCTCCACTGCAATATTGCATTAACGTGGACCAGCAATTCATGCAAATTTGTTCTACTGGCAACTGAAAACTTACTATACAATGGTTATGCTATTATTATTTATCCAGAATTCCAGTATATCACAGCAGATCTTTCAGTGCTTTACAAAGTGTTGTCATAATTCCCCATCCCTTATTGCCATAGTTGCATTAGACATCTTTTATAAGGGAAGGTTAAAAAATAGCTGTTGCTATTTTCACCAAAGCTGGAATGGCAATAAGAAGGTAATATAGAAACCTTTTTTTAAAAAATGTCCAGATTTTTATTATCAGTTTGACTCATGGAAATGGGCACTCCTACTTTAGACTTCAATATGTAGGGTTTTTACACTGGTGGGTTTCAAAAATTTTCGAACCTACTCTGTGGGTGTGGCCTCCTTTGTGGGAGTGGCTTGCCGGCCATGTGTTTTCTTTCTCTCTTTCTCTCTTTCTCTTTCCTTTCTTTTTTCTCTCTGTCCCTTTTTCATTTTTTTCTTTCAACTCTCACTTTTTCTTTTTTTTATTTCTTCCTTTCTTTCTCTTTCTCTGCGTGAGTCTGTCTGTCTGTGTGTGCATGTGTGTGTGTGTGTGTGTGTCAGTAGTGGGTTTCAAAAAAATTTGGAACCTCTTCTGTAGGTGTGGCCTGCTTTCTGGGTCCACTGGTGGAACCTCTTCTAACCAGTTCGGTAGATTTGATGAACCGGTTCTACCGAACTGGTGCGAACTGGTAGGAACCCACCTCTGGGTTTTTAAAACTGTACTAGGATAAAAGGACAGGTTAAGGAACAGACCTGGCACACAAATGATCCAAGTCCATTATCAGAAATTCACAAAATATGTATGTAAAGCCTTTATGTAATTTGAGAATAAGAACTATGGTTATCCCTGCAGTCGTTTATCAGATAATGGCACTGGGAGAGAATTATGCCTAGGATATTATTATAATAATACAATAGCTACAATCTTATACATGATTTTTTTCTTTCAGAGAATAAATAGCACTCCAATATAAAATTCCAAAAATATGAACAGAAGCAATACATGGACATTTATTACAATTGCTAGTAATAATCTTCAAAAAGAACCACAACTATATTTGAACATGTAAGACTTACTGGTTATCATAGCTCCAGTTACAGAACCCAGAAATCCAATGCTGACCACAATGAGAGAGATTACTCTCCCTTGCCTATGCCTTTGCAGCATGACAAACATTAATACTCCTGCCGCACCGTGGACAAAGAGAGAAGAGAAGAGAGCCCATAGGAAAACCCAGTACCACATTTCTGGAAAAAAAGTAATCAAACAGCAGGTTAATATTTCTTATTTCTTTCTGATGGTAACAAATATATATATATTTATATATATACTTAAGTATTTGAAAAATGATAGAGATATAAATGCATGCACAGAAATAACTCTCACTTACAAGTTAATTTTATTATCTTGTCCATTATCCATTCTAAAAAATATTATGTATACCTCAATGTTCTTATCCCCCCCCCCTCCTTTTCCTATAAACTACCTAGTAGACAATTTTTGCCAGTGGGGAATGTGCAAATTATATAAAAAAGTAAATATTAAGTAATTATGAATAGGCTATATGTCAAATGCATGGAAATAATTCTCACCTATAGTACCAGTTCATTTCATTATTCTTCCACTACCCATTTTCAAAAGGACTGTGTATATTTCTGTATTACAGTTTTCTTCTTCTTTCCTTTTCTGTGAGCTACCAAGATGACTTTTTTTGTTAACAGGTTGCAAAACAATTATATGAAGAATTAAATATTAAAAGAAACAAAAGAAATTTAAAAAGGACCATTTCATAGTTATTCTAATGTGTCTATGTTATCTATGTTTATATGTAGGTATATGGGTACATACTGTACATGTGTGTTTGTATGTGTGTGTGTGTGTGTGTGTACATATAAATATCTCTCATGAATACAAAGTCACACACTCAAAATACTCTGAGAGCTAAAACAAGAACGTAATTTAAGGGAACCAAAATATAGATATTAACTATTCAGAAGTAATACAGAAAGTAAAGTATTGAAGGTATTTGCTTTGCTTAAATGGGCAATATGCAAAATGATGGGTTTTTCCCTGATGAAGCTAATAATATTGCAGTTATCAATACATTGGTTCTGAATGTTTATAGACTGAGGTTTCTTATTATTTAAGGACTGAATGTCAGCTGCATGGGACTGAGATATGTAGAATAACAGAATATTATTATTATTTAATTGCTCAATGCTTTTTGTTATATTAAAATTCTGTTTCTTTGGAGATGTTAAATACGCAAGTAAATAAAACAAATTTTTAAATTTATGGAAATAACTCGGTGTGCAGATATAGGACTATTAAAAAATATAATATTTAAATCTAGTTTCACCACACATACTAGTGATAGTGCTTTAATAAAATATACTTCTATCATAGAAACATTCATTTTCAAAAACAGTTGTTTTACAATGCAATACCACAGTATGCTTTACTGTTTTTAATTTTCATCACTAATTTGAAAATATTCCTTCAGAGACATACATTGAATCATATAAAATCTATTCAACTAAACCAGAATCCAATAGGAATAGAAGTTCTCAACTTACAATAATTTGACCATTCAAAAGTTTGATGGACATTACAAAAGCTATTTATGATCCATCATCAAAATTGCAATTCCCCCCTTCCCCCCCCCCAAAAAAAAATCATGTGATATTTTGGGCTCTGGATAACTGGCTTGCATTTCTGAGCAGCTACAGCATTCCAAGGTCACTTGGTACAATTTGTGACATTTCTCCCTGCTTTCTGGTGGGAAATGGAACGAAGATGCCTATTGGATATGCTAGCTTTGTTTAATGACTATGTGATTCACTTAATAAGTGATTTTCTTAATGACTGTATTGATTCATTTTATGACCGTCATGCAAACAACTTTAGTCACTTGGTGCCACTGCACAAATGAGCCTGGAAACCATGCCATCTTTGGTGCTACACAGCCACATTTTTCCCTAAAAAGGAGAAGCTGGAAACTGGCTCATCAGGATGAAGAACTTTCTGTTCTTAAAACTAATCAATGTAGCCTGTGCGGTTTGGTGACCTTGCAAGTTTTGTATTTCATGTTATTTTATACTATTCTATTTTTAATCAAATTATGTTTGTTGATCATAAATCAGAGAATTTATGAGACATCATACTAATACCGAAATAGAATAAAATGCTATATTAGTGGGCATTATTTATTTTGAAAAGTATTAGAACTAAATATTAAGTTCAGCAGATGGATTTATTTTGGTATAATGGGAACTAGCAAACTTTTTAAATTTCAGTCATGCACTACATCAGAAGTTTTCATTAATAGTCAGTATTGATATCCTTCAGGTTCCATGTGTCTAATGGCATTTCCATTCATTAGCTGTAATCCATCTTCTATTCTTATCTTCATTAAGTACCAAACTAGCACATCTCTTCAGGCCAAATTTTACTCCTTTATTTCACTCTATGCATTTGATAAAGTGAGCTGGAGTTTACAAAAGCTTGTCTTTTAATAAAATTTATTAGTCAAAAACGCCACTCTACCAGACTCTTTCTGATTTTTGGCTACCATACGTTAACAGAGTTTTCTTCCTAAAATGTCTAGGAGCAGTGATTTTAATGCTTTTTAAAAATTCTATAGATCTTTTTTTTTTTTTTTGGCAACTGAAGGATCGTTGTATTAATTAGCAGCTGGTATTTTGTGCTACATGAATTTTTGAAACCTCTTTTGTTCTATTGTTCATTTCAAATAAACTTGTGAAGATTGTTCATAATCCCACTTGACAATTTCAGTGTTGTGAGCCAGCAAGTTATAGGGCTAGAGTGGGCCTGTCAAACTGGCAGCCCACAGGCCAGATGTGTCACACGCAGTCCATGCCCACTCCAACTCCACAAAGGCAACAAAAAATCTCACAATGTCACGTAATGCGATCGACTTTGACACCTGTGGCCTAGAGTCATCTTTTGCTTTCCCCTTGCCTTTTGGTACTAGAAATGTTATTTCATTCTTCATTTTATTGTTGTTTGCAGGAGGTTATTCAGTTGTGTTGCTAGCTTGGAGTGTAGGCTTATCAAGATTAGAGCCAAAAATCATGCAGTTAATCTTTGGGGAGGATACTCCAGTTCTTTATATTTTTGAGTTGCATCTGAATCATTTTTACATCTTCCTTTTGTTTTTCATCAAATGCTTTCCAGAATGTTGTGCTTTTCATTGCACTCTTAATATTTTTCCAATAGTCAACAATTTCTTTATCAGAATTTGTTATAAACAGTGTTTTATTTAACCCGATTTATTATTATTGCTTATTGGGGATACCATATCCAGAGGAATGGACTAGCATAGATTGTTTATAAATAAATAAAAATCCAGTGTGAAATTTATTAGGGTCTTGTCCCTATTCTGTAACAGGTGAGCGAGCAATAGAAGTCTAATCAACTAATTTAGGTCAAAGAGCCGAGCTTGTTAACTTGTGGTTAGCAGTTTTTGGAACTAGATTAAAGTAGCATAGGAAAAGGTAGGTTGTTTAGGCAATTTCTCTAATTGGGGAAAGAAAAAAAACCTAACCCTTTACACAACCCATATACTTTCTGAATTCTAACATTTTCCCTCAGGGACAAGATACTGTATTGGGTAGGTCTGCCTGCCTAGCTAGCTTATGCCATCTATCCACCTATCAAAATCACCTA